GCAAATGTTGAGGCCATTGAACCTTTGATTCATGTCCTTAAGACAGGGAGTCCAGAAGTCAAGGAGAACTCAGATGCCACACTTTTCAGCTTATCAGTTATTGAGAAAAACAAAATCAGGATAGGGAGGTTTAAAACAATTAGACCACTGGTTGATTTATTAGGGAATAAAACCCCTAGGGGGAAGAAAGATGTTACCATGGTTAATTTATTAGGGAATGGAACCCCTAAGAGGAAGAAAGATGTTGCCACTGTTGTGAAAACAAGGATTGGATCATGCAAGTCAGTGTTGTGAAGCATCTTATAGAGTTAATGGACCTTGCAGCTGGAATGGTTGATAAGACAGTTGCTGTTTTAGCAAATCTTGCCACAATACCAGAAGGGAAGACAACAATTGGTTAGGAAAGTGGGATTCCTATTCTGGGTGAGGTCACTGAGTTGGGTCCTGGGATCACAACAACATCGTTTCACTATTAAAGGTGTCACGATAGCTTACAAAAACGACGTCGTTTCTGTCAAGTGAAATTCTGATGTAACACTTAACGTGACAACAACCTTTTGTCATGACGTCAGAGACTAAAAAAATGATAGAGAAAGAAATTGAGGACTAACGTCATATTTTAAATGTCTCAGAAACTAAAATGTTGGACTCAAAGTCTCTCAAGGACTAAAGTGAGAGTTTAGTCTTATATAAATCTTGCACACTATAAGTTTTGTCTTTAAAAACTCAGTTGTTTCGGTCTTGCCTTAACTTCCAAGCAATAATTGGTAAAAGTAGCTTCCAATTACTCTCCTCCTTCGTAGAAATATTTTCTTCAAGATTCTATTTGAACCAATTTGTTTTGCTGCTACTGAAAAACGCAACTCACCCTTCATTTTTAATGAAAAATTTCCAAAGTTGTTTAGCATGGGGGCAATCCCTCATGATGTGCATTAAAGTTTAAGGAGCCTCATTGCAATGCACATAAGTAGCATCAATGTTTATTCCTCTCTTGCTCAATTCTTCCAAAGAAGCAAGCCTCCCATTAAGCAATTTCTACAAAACGGATTAATTTATATGGACCCTTCCAGGTCCAAATTGTTTTCGTGATAGAGTCATTAATCTAAAAAATTTGGTCCCCAACAATATAGTTATAAGTTGATCAAGTAGAAAAATTATCATTTAATTCCCATTTCCAAGCCACTTTATCTCCCTACTAGGGATCTAATGGAATGATGTAGACTGATAAACAATTAATGATATCCCTAGGTAAATAAGCATTAAGGAAATCGTGCAATTTTCCATCCATTTTGAAAACGGGTTGGGTAACATAGTTACTAAGACATGAGATTCTTGGAATAAAATTATCTTTCCAAAAGCAAATATCTTTCTCATCACCAATCTGCCAGAGCAAACTAGCATTAACAACATGCCAATTTTTTATAATAGCCCACCAAAGCGTCAATGATTTGTGATAAGTGTTGATATTAAATGAAAATTGTCATAGTTATAGGCACCTACTACACTTGATTGTATGTATTTATGCTCAAACTCTCTTAATTGTAAGTAATTGTAGCCATATATATGTTCCTTAAAAGTTGAATATGAATTTAATGAGATTGGATCTTAAAAATCTTATTTAGTAGGTGAATAGAATTGAAGAGGAAAGAAGGGCACGAAGTGAAGAAATGCTAAAACTAATTAGTAATCACGATCCATCGCTTGAGTTAGGAATCTTTTGCTTAAGTAAGAGACTCAGTCAGAAGAAGAGAGTTGCTTTCGCCACACTTTGCTTGAGCAAGGTATCTCTTGCATGAGCAAGAGAGAAAGACAAAGTAGAAGGTCATTGTCGTTACATTATCGCTTAAAGTAAGGTTTAGTTAGTCTGAGCGAGATAACTTTTTCTAGGATGAAGTCTTCTTCTCACTAAAGTAAGAAATAACGCACAAATGAGAGTCCACTTACTATGAGGCAAATTTAAAGCGTCTGTAACTGAATTCATAACTTTTAGGGAGAAAAGCATGAGGAACTCAAAGGAGAAGAGTGGAAACACTCAGAGTCTTACTCATCCAAAAAGTATCAATCAATTAATATGCTGAATACATGTAATGGCTGTCATGAACAACTAATTTTTCCACTAAGATTGAATGTAATCATCAAATTTTGATGTATTTTGACTTATTCACCTATATATATATATATATATATATATATATATATATATATATATCTATTATTCAATGTTGCAGATCTTAGTTTTCTTTTTCTGTTTTTAATGCTTGAATTTATCTTATATATTCTTGATGTTAAAATTTGAGTTATAACAAAAAATATTTCTTAAATTTAGATTTGAATGAGATCACTTAATGTGTTGATAGTTTAAGAATAGATATCAATGTATTAATTGATTTAAATACTACATCTTAATGTTGGATAGGTTATTGTATTTCTAAGGAGTTGACATATAATAAATCTATCTTAAGATCCTGTATTTAAGGAATCAATATAAGTGAAAATAATGTGTTGCATCAAGACTTATAATTTTGATTGCTATATATAAGTGAAATACAAAAGAGTGAGATCGATCAAAATTCAATCTCAAGTCAATTAATCTAAGTAAAATCTTGCGTTAAGAACCTCAATTTACATTCATTATGTTTGATTGAAATAAAAGAAAACTTATTTCAAAATCACATTTATTGTAAATCATTTAAAGAACTAAATGCTTGAAAGAATTTAATCTTACTGTTTCCTATGGATACGAGACTCAACTCACTGCTATATTACAAGTTGTTTATGAAATTACAACAATTTGCTACCTGTATTCATGGTTTAGATAGTAATGCCACCACACCCGTACTCATCCTTAATAATTTCACCCAAACAGCATTTGGATTATTAACAATAGCCCAACCCAACTTTGACATATAAGCATCATTAAGACTTCTTAAACTTCGAAAACCAGGACCACGCTCCATGCCCTTTGGATCATTTGTATCAACTATAAGACAACCTTAAACCTGCAAAGCAAGACGAGAACGAGAGTAAAATTCTATTTTTTTTAAATGAAATATTAAATTCCTTAATCTATGTAATTTATTCTCTCTAAATAGGTAAATAAAAATGTTTAATTAAAAATTTTAGCATTTAATGTTTGGAATAACTAACAAATAATAATATCAATGATTAATTATTGTAATAACTGGTCATATGGAATAGTTTTGTGTTTAAATATGTCAGATAAAAAGTGATTTTAGAATAATCTATTGTATTTGAATTCTGTAAATTAATCACTTTTTTTAGGTTGAAACTAAAAATAAAATTAAATCAAGAGCTAAAATAAAAATTTAACAATTGAATGAAGACTCAAAATATATTTAACTTCAAATTTTGCTTATAATTTAAAATAAATTTATGCACCTTAACAATTCTAGGAATTCCATCATTTAACTCCTTCCCGAATGTTAAGAAGAAAATAAAATGTAAAATGATTGAAACTTCTTTGATACATTAAAATCAGCTTATATATTTTAAGTTTTAAAAAATTAAATAATTTAAAAAAATAGAAACCATAAATTTATTTTAACTTATAAAATAAATTTTATTTATTTTATTTTTATATATTTATTTTGTATAAATATTCATTAAAAATTATTCAAATTAACAGAATTTAACACACTTACCTTCCTAAGGTTATTTGAAAAGGAAAGTTTTAGAGAAGAGAAGAGGGAAAGATAAATTTTATATTTTAAATAAATATATTTGAAATTAATATTTATTTAAAATAAAATATATAAATAAATATATTGAGATAATTTAATATATAAATCATATATTTATTATTATAAGTGATATATAATTATTTTAATTTAAGATTAAAAAATATATCTTCTTTTTCTTTCTAAAATTATCTTTCCAAACATAGGTTATTATTTAATAATTATTAAATTAAATACAAAAATAAAATATTATTATATTTACTTAATTAAGCAATTGAAATATAAGAGATTTTAATGATATAAAAAAATACAGATAATAAATTGAGAAAGCAAAATATTACAGAAGATAAGGGGTAATTTTTTTATTTAATAATTGTAATAATTATTAAAAAAATATCATAAGAAGATTTACAAATACTTTTGAGAGAGAAAACAACAAACCTTTAATATATTATTAAATAAAAATATTTATCATATTTAGTCAGTTAAATAATTGAAATTTTGTAATAAAATGTGTATTAAATAAATAGATACTCTTGTTGACTTAATCGTATTATTTGGATATTAATACTAAATGGCCCACTCTTGAGAAGAAACCGACAAAGAAAAGAAACGCGCAATCCTTTAGACTTGAAACGTGGTTCCACGGCAGGATCGCCACCGCCACAAGACTTGTCCTTCTCCAACCATCACGAATCCACCTTTTACAACCGAAAACTACCCAATAAACTCTATTATTCTAATAACCTAACTTATTTTTCACATCTTTGGGACACTCATAAATGAGAGAACAAATAAAAGTAAAATGTTTATCAATTAAATTTAAAGACTACAACTCCTTTTATTCATTTAATTTTTTCAAGATGCTTTAATTTTTTAAAATATTTTATAGTTTTTTTGAAGTATTAATTATATTTTTAATTAATGAAATTGTAAATAACTTTAATTTAAATTTAAATTAAATAAATATTAATAATGAAATTATGTTGAACTTTTTTAAATGGAAATCATAACTTTTTAAAAAACAAAAATTTTGTTTGATTTATTTATTTTTATTTTTATATCTATTTTTTCTGTATATCTCTTCTAAAAAAAATTATTCCAATAAAATAGAATGACTACAAATAATAAATTTAACATAATTATATTTATTTAAATTAAAACACCATACATAAGTTAAACTAAAATAACTGGTTTTATTTTGACTCATATATGTTTGATAATATTAAAAAAATAAAAAGTGAAAAATAAACAAAGGTATGATGTATATATATAATTGGAGGAGTGAGCTAGGTGAGTTGGCTCCTCCTCGTACCATTCTCTACGTTACGTCAAATTCAGCTCGAATTCCCATATATCCTTTGACTCTTAGAACACACAGATGGCACATGAAGAACTCTCGCTGTTTCACTCACTCCCACGCATGCACATTTTTCTCATCACTTTCCTCTTTCCTTTTCAGAATCAGTCAAAACCCAATCACAAGGTTCCTTCCCTCAAATATCACACTCTCCGTGTTCCCTCTTTTCCTCTCTCTCTCTCTCTCTCTCTCTCTCTCTCTCTATATATATATATATATAGCTTTCCTCTTTCTTCCAACGCTCAAACACTTTTGTATCGTAAAGCTTAGTTCTCACCTTCCATGCCAAAACCCTTTCCCACTCTCATTCTCTAGTCCGCCTTCATTTCAAGGAAAACCTTATGTTTCATTTTTAGCATCATAATATGTTTACTTCGAATAATTTCTCCCATGATCCACGTTCAGTTTTTTTGGACACGTCATCACTAGCATTTTCCAAGGAGCTGCGGCTGGCGGTGCGCCACCCGAAGAAGCGAGCGGGGAGGAAGAAGTTCCGGGAGACACGCCACCCGGTGTACCGGGGCGTGAGGAGGAGGAGCTCAGACAAGTGGGTGTGTGAGGTGAGAGAGCCTAAAAAGAAGACTAGAATTTGGTTAGGGACTTTTCCCACGGCGGAGATGGCGGCGCGGGCCCACGATGTGGCAGCAATGGCCCTACGGGGCAGGTATGCTTATCTAAATTTTGCCGACTCGGCATGGCGGTTGCCGATTCCCGCCACCGCCGAGGCTAAAGATATCCAAAAGGCAGCCGCACAGGCTGCCGAAACTTTTAGGCCAAGTCAGACTTTAAACAATGGTGACATTAAGAAAGAGAGTGTTGAGGTGGCGGTGACGAAGGCAGGGGAGGGTGTGTTTTATATGGAGGAAGAAGAAGAGGAAGTGTTGGAGATGCCTGAGTTGCTTAGGAATATGGTGCTTATGTCCCCTACTCATTGCTTAGGGTTTGAGTATGAAGATGCTGACTTGGATGCTCAAGATGCTGAGGTGTCACTATGGAGTTTTTCAATTTAGTAGTGTGTTTGGTTTGTTCTTTTCTTTTTTTTTTATGTTAGTTTTGTGTTGGACAGTGTCTGTACTGTGTTTTTGTTAGTAGTACGGATACTAAAGGAAATTTTCTTTTGTTACCTTTATTTGTAAATGTAATATCAAGTGCATCACTTCAGAATTATGTATAAATAAAAGAAAAATCTAATTTTGGGTTGTGAATATGTAAGGCAACAAAGGGGAAGAACTGAAGAAGAATAGGATATACTCCTTTACAAAGGGGAACAACAAACCTAGGATTTAGAATAATAGTAGACCACTAGATCTTCTTTCTGTAAGGTACTAGGTGCCTATCAACAAGCGAGGACCACACTTTTTTCCATGTGGATTAATATGTTTATGTTGAAGAAAGCTAATAAGAAGTGGGGGTCCATGTCCTCATGTTAGTTAGTTGGATTGGGTCAACCTATTCAATTCGAAGTAGTTAACCTTCCAAACAGTGGTTGAAGTCTTCACTGGTTGAATTATATATATTTAAATTGACTCCTGCCCTTCTTGGCATCAAATCAAGTGCTTGATATGCTTGACAGAAGAACCTGAGCTCTTTATAGTTTATACCATACCTTAGTCCAATCAAATAAATTTGGGACTGTTACTAACTTATAATTAAGAAGTCACAATATATCTTGCTCTTGTGAGCAAGGAACAAGAGAATTGTGAAAAGATTGCTCTTTAATTATTTGTCTTCCTATCTTGAAAATTACCATGTAAACAGTACTGCAACCCCTTTTCTTTTTCTTCTTTTCTATTTTACATGATGTCCCTGCTGACATAGGTGTGAAACTAATGCATGAGCTGAATTGATAGTTCAATAAACAAAAATGTTTTTTGATCAACTTTAAGAGACAACGTTTAGTTGTTCCTCTTACTATTTTAGTATATTTTTAATATGTTCGTGTATGAAAAAGATAAAAACTAACTAAAAGGATGGAAATAATTATACAGTGTCATATATAGGGTTAAATTTTAGTTATTCAAATAAAAAACAATTAAATAAAGCCTCCTCAGGAAGGAGACTCCCTACAGTGCTGCCATACTTGAGGAGGATTGACTTTGAAATAGAAATAATATCTTTGAACTTTCCTTTAAAACCAAAGTCCCTTTCTTCCTAGCAATAAGGAGCCAAGTGGCCAACTTGACCTCGGTGGAAACGTGCTTTGATGACCCCTGCTCTCTTGAATAGAACCAAAACCAAGTCACTAGTTTTGACAAAAGTACTAAATTTCTGAGAAGATGCTAACTTGTAAATGTATGGCCAAGAGTTTATACTTTTTCATATTTTAGACCTTCTACTAGTTACTTCTAAAGAACAACTGAGTTACCAGGTAAATGAATATCATACATGGATACACACACATATATGTATATATTATGGTATAAATTTTTCTTAGTTTCTACTTCTAAATTTCTATCTAAATAGGACAAATTTCATGTGCCTACTTTCATAAACCACCTTTTGTAACCAATCATACACTTTGTGCAATTTCAACTTTTGATGCAGAAAATACAATCTATTTTTACTCGCCTTTACTTAATTTAAGTCAAAGGGGGTAACTTCTTTGTCTCTCTCTTACCCTTCTCTTATGTCTTGTGCCCACTATCTCTTCATTTCCTACTTGAAGAAATGGTGAGGAAAGGAAAAGAGAAATAAAAAGAATCATTCTATTACTGACAGCAGTGAAGCTGACCCAACAGACAAACTCACAGAAATAAAAAGTTAGAAAAACTTAAATTAACATAGGAATGAAGACATGGTACGTATTACAACAGACAATAATGAAACTTGTAAATATACAAAATGTAAAACGATGCTGATGTTGCTACTTTAGCTTTCTCATGCTTCATTCAAGAACCATGAGAGGAACTTGAATGGTCAATCTAGTTCAGTATACTTAATCAGAAGCTAGTAATTAATATGTCTAGCTATTTCCTCAGGAGTTATATTTTGAAGGGTATCCATCTTCTTTAGAAAGGACTCTAGCTTCTTTCTATTTCCATCTTGAACCTTATCTTCATACCCTGGTGCATTCATAGCCTTCTCTAGTCTTTCTATTCCCCTGCACAGTCAACGTTCCAATCTTGTAAGAGCTCAAGTTGTGTATTAAAAGCAACTAAAATGGTAGAAGTTTATGCACCAAAAAGGTTCCCTTTGGAAACAAAAGAAAACCCAATCACTTTATTTGTTATGCAGCTAATAAAATAAAACCCCCAACAAAATCTACCATCTAAGCATTACTTAACTATCCCATTATGAAAAGACAACATACAAGAAAATGCAAAGGATATGTATGTATGCAGCTGTAATTTCATAATTGCTTGGATAACTTAAAAATAAACCTACTTCCTTCACTCTTGTATCTGATTCTGGATCTCTTTTTGCCCTGCTTCTGAAGAAATATTTCCTTGAAGGTCCAAATAAACAGAAAGGCTTTCATTTACAAGTGATACGGCATATCTAGATGGAACAGGGTAATTTTCATTGATTACCTGTAAATCATATAATATCATTACAAGTGAAAAAGGTGTTAATCTGATCAAGTGCACTAGTTTTACACTCTGTTACCCTATGTACCAAAAACCAATTATAGAATTGCTCAACAGAATAAGGGATGCATGAGATCATTGACATGTGTACATGAGAGTCATTTTGAGAAGCTTATGAAACTTACAGTCAAAGAAGATAGATTAGCTAGAGTTACAATCTCTAGTTTATATCTTTTAATAATTTCTGCCACCCTTTGAGTTTGGCAGAGAGCAAAAGCTGGTCGCCTAACAACATAAGCAGCAAATTTGGAATCAGCAAAGAATGTTATATTAAATAACAATCTAATTAGTGGAGAAATCAGTTTACATTGGACAGAAAAAATCATAGTGCTATATATAACAAATGATCATGATCAAGATCAACCCTCAACCTCACCCTGCCAAAAATGAAATATAAAAAGAATTTATTTCAAGCAATTGTAACTTTTTTTAAGTTATACATAAGTTAGGAGATAGGTAATCATGTAAAAAAACTGAAATGTAAGTGTGAACATATATCTTGTATTGTGTTTTAAAAAAAAAAAAAAAACAATGAAGATAATAGTAATATATTATACAGATCAATTCAAACTCCGTTGATTTCTTTAAACCCTGATTATTTCACATCTCCTTTTAATACACTCACATTTACACCCCTTGGAAAGGAGTTTAAATTTCTCTCTCCCTGCTCTTTATGTGTCCAGTGATTACACATGTTAAAAGGGATGTAAAGAAAGTTAAAACACATTTTTCAATTTGCTTTCCAGATAAAATACAACACTAGAGTTGCTATTGATTGGTAAATCACAAAAGGGAGAGAAAAAATAAATTATAAATGATGTTTAACAGGTAACGAGAAAGAAAACATGGTTGTTTCGTATCAGAAAACGTTTTCTGTATTCATTTTCTATTTGCACTTATAATTACAAAAATGGCACCTTGTTTTAATTTTGTTTTCTTAAAGATTTGTACAGAAAACAGTAAAAATAAAAATCATTTTCTGAAACCAAATGGCTCTTTATATTTCCAGAAATATGGAGTTTTCCCTGCTGAAGGACTATAAGAATTTGTTCCTATATTAACTTCATTAAAATTCTGTGTTAGTTGAGATATAGAAGAGTAATGAAGAAGTTGAGATGAAAACAACTACAATTCCTTCTTCCACATACCTGTCACGTCTTTCATTTGCTAGTGACCTGAGAGACTTAACAACAGACTCTACAAGATCTATCTCATCCTCCACCCTTTCATTATTCCAGCACTATGATTATAAAAAATTATATATTTAAACGACTAGGTCCAGAGCCCCTTTTTCATCCCCTTTTTCATTTTATCTTTATTTAATTAATGTTATTATTAACTTATACAGTTCATATTTTTTGGCTCTACCCATGAAATATTTAGTAATATATTTTTTACAACTAAATCAAGTTATGCAGAAACGGTGTTTAAAAATACACTAACAATATAAAAAAACTTTCTATTGTCATCTAATTATAAATTATCATATAATAAAAATTATCAATTTTTATAATAAGTACTATAACAATCATATGTAAGGCAATGTTTAATTAATTATTAGTGTAATATATTTTCATTAACAATACATCAAAATGATCATGAAGTGAAATAAAGAAACCTCAGCCCATATCATTCGTTTGTAAGAACCAAAAATAGTGCAATTTATGTGGGTCTCACATATAACAATCGCTCAATATTGTTGGCGTGAAATGGCGATGAGAAATAGCCCAAAGTTAAGAGCTTGTTTAGTTTTTGTTTTTAAAAAAAATACTTTTTTAGAAGTAAAATACAATAAAATTTGTTTGTTAACATAAGTTTTATTTTTATTTTCTTCTTCAATTATTTTTTAGAAAATCATTTTTAAATTTAATTTTTAAAAATAAAAAACTAAAACAGAAATAAATTTGCCCTTAGTCTTCCAAAATTACCCTTGCAAAAAACCCAAGGGACAAAATAAGATTTCTGAAAAGAGAATCTGGTACACTTTATCCAAGGGGGTAAAATTGCCTCAAAATATTTTAGATTCATTTTTCATTTACAGTTCAATCAATCCAAACTTATGAACATTTTTTTTTTCATTCTTATTCCATTTCATCCAATCACCGCATTATTTTTCAAAAAATATTTTTATTTCATTCATCTTTATTTTAATCCTTTCTATTTTACCTCTACAAAGGTTTGGTAATCTTTACTGTAATTTTTAATAATGTTTTATTTATTAGCTTTTTAGCTAATTTCCTTAAAACTGTATTTTCACTTTGAAATGCTTCAATCCATAATAACTGAACTGGCTCTAAACCTAATGACTCTAACTTTTGTCAAATGTGTGTTTACAATGTTAGATCATACTGAAAATGAACTAACCATGACATACAAATTTAATTAAACATGAATTTAAAAGCAAGTATGAATTTCAGGCTAGACCTTCTCCATTTCTTCTGCACAAACTCATACATAATTATTGGTCTATCACCATGACATAGTCCATTCAACTTCTCACTCCATTTGTTGTTTCTTTTATTCTTTTTAGTCAAGGTTTTGGAGATGATGGTGGTTGTTATCATTGTTTTGAAAAGGCATGGAAGACATTGCATAATAAAATTTCACTAAGTGTGCCTCATGCATGAGGAAAACAAAAGGTTACATAATAAAAAAACACAGAAACCATCGCGTTAAGCATTTCAAATAAACGCTTACACGAGGAAAATGAAGAGAGTTCAGATGTACAAAATCAAAGTAAGCAGCATATGAAAAGGTCCTTCATTTGATCCAACTTCTGTCAAATTGTGTCAACAGCACTATTTTACCTTCTTAAGAAGTGTTGAGGTCCTAAACTCAGCATCATCCCTTACAAAACTCCACCAGAGAAAGGTGAGAGGAATGCTTGTTGCATGCCATAGAGCATGAGCATCCACATATCCCATGTAAGGTGGGAAGTCATATGTCTCCAAGATCATAGCTAAGCTTCCTCCAACCACTGCGGTCCATAATTTCCATCGTGCTGGATGGTTGGAAACACTACCAAAAATTGCCCAAGTGAGAAGCTGGACTACGGCCATTGCCGTGCAAACTACCCTGTTCAAACCTGAAAGGGAAAAAAGGGGTCAATGCAACAGATCCCTCCCCAAGAGCAGAGCTGCATCATTTCTGTAGACCTCTCATTTTTCAGCAATATTTACAAAAATATTATGTTGAAATATATTTTGTTTGAAAGTCAAAGATTGCCAAAAGTTCGTTCACAGAAGTTGAGATTAAGAGTATGAGTTCTCTCAAGCAATCGAGGAAGCATGAAGCATGACTAGTAGGGAACATAAAAACTAAAGATGTGTAACTCAGTAGACAGCAACACTTTGTTTAAAAATAAAAGATTACCATAAGAAAGTTGGTAGAAATTCAGATACATGATATGAGTTGTCACAAAAGCAATCAAGGGAGCAGAAATCATGACTCTTGTAGCCTCATCCCTCACGTTAAAAGCTCGCATTATTGTTAGAATGAGGGTGAATCCAAGCAAGGCCACAGCAGAAGAATAATCCAGCTTCTCTGTTAATTCCACAGCTCTACAGATAATGAAGTTTGAAATACAGATCAAAAGCCAAAACTGAAAAATAAAAGATTAAATTAAAATGGCTTTTCTAAAGTGTGCCATCAATAAATAGCCAAGGTTTTATTGAAAATTGTAACATTTAATATTATCAATGCATTGGATCCTGTGATTTCAAATAAAAGCTTATTATATATAAGTGCAGTACATTTAGAATAGGTACAAGCCTTTTGATGCTGTCTGTGTGTGGGTGGGCGTAATGAATTTTGTGATCATTCATCATTGTTGCATAAAAATGAATTTTTATGCAGTCCTCAATACCATTTACACGAAAGTGCAGGAAGATCAATATTAAGGCTCTAAGAAGAAACAACTGTGCTATGAGGGCTAGTACCTCAACACTGAATCAAACCTTTACATATACAGCATAGACCATAAAGTAAATCACCAAGTGAACATCTTACCTACTATGAAAAACAGCACTCCACAACCATGAATTCATAGATAGAATCCCATAAATATGCCACAAGCCAGTGTACTCATAGTAAGTCTTCTTATCTGGCCTCAAAGGCAACTTGTAGTACACAAGAATGAAAAAGGATACCCAGCCATGAAACTGCATAGCAAGATTGAGGGCAGACAGAGCAACAGCCACAGGTTCCTGAAACCATATAATATATCCATGCTACAATAAAAAATCAAGACCAAAACCAACTTAGCAACAATACCATTAAATCATTCATAGGAGATTCATGAAAGAACCTGAATTCCATAAACACGCCAAAATGGCCATTTTCCATGATACTTGACAGGCTTGTCGCCAAGTTTTGTTCTTTCTTCCTCTCTAGCTAGCATACAGTAATACCTACAGTCAGTGCGACAGTCCCATTGTTTCCACCTCAGGTAGAGGGGTTCATGCATATACCATGGACCATCAATTGGTTTTCCATCTGATGAGAATTTACAATGTTGAAAGCATCTATCCCCTACACATCCAGTTTTCTCACACTGCTCCACGCAACCTCTGAAATTTAATAATCACAAGCATAATCAATTATAAGGTAGGCAAGATAAGAATAGAGCATAAGATAGTTATATTACCGTTATTTTATACAGAAACACATAATACCATTAGTAATTATGTTAGTATACAGGTCAATGCTTGATGAATTGGCAGAATATGAATAATTTTTACATCAGCCATTCAGCTCCTCATTTACTTACTACTGACTAATGACAATACTTAAGCTTCACCATTTTCTTTATTATAAAAAATGCCGATCAAAATGAACAGCTAGATTTTCCAAATCCTTCATGAAAGCAGAAATATGGGAATGGATTAAACTCAACACCTGTATGAATATATACAAAACTGTAGAAATTAATAAAGAGAATAATATGGTATTAGTTGAAGTTTCAAACAAAAATATCATGATTGATGCTGCATAAGCAGGTTAATATCATGACAACTAATGGTCAGATATGAAAATGCCACAAATGCCTCCATTCCAAGGAAAGGGAGAAGTTAAAAGAGCACACGGTAAATGTTATAAAGCAGTAAAGCACAATACTTACACTTTCATGTAAATGCTAGATAAAGCAAATGATGCTGAAATACATTCAAATTTGCTATGATCTTACATTATGAAACTCCAGATTTTTGAAAACTTTGAACTGAAAGCCTTAAGCAAAATGTAAACGATGATGAAACTAATCCAAGCTTCTAACAACAGTAATAAAACCATTGACACTAAAGCCTTCTATAGCCCAATAACTAAAATATAGTTCCAGGCAATACAAATATTACTAAAGCTGCCATAAAATCCTTGTTTAAATCAAGTTAGTTCTTTGTTTGGAACAAGGTTTTATCCTAATCATATAGCCAGGAAGATCAGCTGTACACAGGCCTACCTATTGTAGTGATCTCAAATTAGTATATTTATTTATCAGGATATATAAAAGCAAAAACAAGGCAATGAATCTACACCTCACAGTTAACAGTAGCAAGTACATAGTTATGAAACATAAATGCCCTCAACTGTTTTCTTGAGCATCTCAATTGCACAGATCCATATTTTATATTAATATTATATAAGTTCTGACACATTACAACTGCCATGATGGTAGCACAACATTTCAAATGCACATACCAAGATTAATCCCTCTCCCCCCCCCCCCCCCCCGAAAAAAAAAATTGAGAACTTTTGATTATGATATGTTCTACTAGTACTCAGTAAAGATGTCTACAAGCAAATAAAGCGTACCAGGTATCCCAAGAACATTAGTTAAATATTAAATATTACACTTTTCTATAAAATATTCACTTTAACCTTTGTCTAATAACAATACAAATTGTTGCAAACAAATATAAGGCATCTCACAATTAGCATAGATAACACTAAAATGCTCAACAAATAAAAAAAAGGTTCCTACTCATAAGTGTCCTAAGGACACTAATTAAGAAACATTTAATAAAACTAGTCAAATGCTTTCAATTACTTAAAAGAACAAGTGTTAAATTTTGAAGTCTTGCTAACCAGTACCCTAAGAGCAGTAGTTCAGAAATCAATAAATAGTAAGATTTTATTGAACATTGGAATGGATTGAAAATCCTGAAAGTAAGTGCATTTTTACATTTTCATTAAAATATTTCTATTAGGGCATTTGTTAGCATCTTCCTAATATATTTGTATTTTCAATAAAATAAATGATTTTTTTTTCTTTTCCTTAAATACTTTCTACTTTTGTTTTCTTACTTAACTCATAAGACACTTGCTAGCATTTGCCCCCCCAAAAAAAAAAAGACAAAATTATCCAACATTCTCCGCCTAACACAGCACAATAACTTTGTCCAATGAACTTATGCAAACAGTGGAAATTCCAGAAATTATCAAAAGTAATCAAATAAAACAAGGGAACCCCAAGAAAACTAATCATGTACTAACAAAACATTGCTGGAATGCTAGCAACACACTCGTTTGAACAAACTTTTCAGCACAGTTCATATGATTGAGTCGTTTTTATTAACATTTAAAATAATATTAATTTTTACGAGACAAATACTTTGAGCTTTTAAAATTAGATCAATTATGTGAAGTGTGCTCAAGAGTGTGGTGGTAGCATTACTCATCTCAAAAAGGTCTAATCTCTCTCTCTCTCTCTTTCTCGCGCACACACACTCCATGCTTGATAATTGACATCAAACCAAAAACAAAAAACAAAAAAATTGCATCATCATTCATTGCACCTATGCAGACAACCGAGAATCCTAGAATCAACCACCAAAACCAACTACATAACACATAGATAACGTCATCTTAAAAATTTCCAAGTCCACACTAAAACATTTATAAACAAAAATAATAAAAAACTGAAAATTCAAAGTTCCAATTTTTACGGCCCCCATAACATCAAAACACCAAACCCAGATTTCTGTAAGGCCCAAAAATCTAATCAAACTCAGACTGAAAATTCCAAATCTGGGAGAGAGAGATACTGACATGTAAAGCGGATCGGCGTCGCCGTCGCTGGCAGCGAGGGGGCGGAGGAGGGAGAAGAGGGCGGCGAAGAGCAAGAGAGAGCGAAAGGGACCCATCGGATTCACGACAAAGCAAAGTCAAAGTCCAAAGGGAAAGGAAAAGGAGGTTCCGGCGAGAATCGACGGCGAGTTTCGCATTGACGGAGAAGAGTGGTGGAGGTAGCAATGACGGCGGAGCGCGGTGGTGGAGACGGTGGTGGTTGATCTTGAAAGGGAAAGGAGTGAGTCAACTCGGAACGAGTTGAGAATGATGGTGAACGTGTGTGTGGCGAAAACAGAACCAGAACCTCGTGGAGAGATGAATATGATATCTCTCGGTCACAGCACAACATTATTATTTTATCGTTATATAGTTATCGATAATAAATAACTTTATTACGTGTACCTACAAATTATAAAATACAAAAAATAAATAATAAACTGTAAAAAAAAAATTATCGTTTTTTTTCTACTCTTAAACTTAAAAATATTTATGTCTTTTTTAAATATACTGTAAATTCTATTATTAAAATTAATAATTATAATTGTTTTAAATATATAAAAGCATAATAATACTATAAAAAAAATTTATATTATCATCAAAACTATTTTGAACTTCAATCGTGACCATATTTTTTAACAATATTTTTTAACAAGTTAGTTCATCTTATTTTTATTTAAATTTCAGTATTTAAAATTTAAAAAATATATATTAAAAATATTTATTATATTAAAATTATAAAATATAATAAATGTTTATTTTTAATTAAATTTTATGATTATTAATTTTTTAAACTAAGGTAAATTATATAAAATTAATATAAAATAAAAGATAATTTATATTTTTTCATGTAAAATAATTATAATTTTTAATTTTATATTAATAAATAATGAAGTTCGTAATTTATTTAAAATAAATGTAAATATCTTCTTATTTTTTAAGATTTTTTTAATTATTTTTGAACTATAAAATAAAAAGTGAAGCTTTTTTTTTTTTTTTACTATGGTTAGAATTACTATTTTTTATTAATATTTTTAGTTTTTTAATTAATTTATATATATTATATAAAAATGAGAATAAACGTAGCACAATCTATTTTATGTTATTCTTGACAGTACATTGTATTAAAGACTCGTTTAATATTTGTAATTTATTTCTAAGCTCTTTTTGAGTCAAACTTTTTTTTCAAATTTTGGAAGACGATACTTTATAAATGTCGGTAATCTATGACTTTTAACTACTTCTGTATTTTGATCATACACTAAAAGTTTTGACACTTGAGTTATATTCGTCAGGATCTTAGCGGTTGCTTCAACTGATCTATCTCTACTTGTCATTTTTTAATTTAAATAAACACATCATACGTATGTTAGCAAGCCTATTGTTCACATACATATACATACACTCATTCAGATCAAACATTTCACATAAAATTCCTACTTAGAGTATCAAACAGGTCACACTAACAACAATTATATTATGTTCTTACTTTACTAAATATCATTACAAATAACACATAACATGAGCAAACTAGTCTTATACCCCAGCCTTGTTAGGACAAACTACTCTGATACCATTTTGTAACATCTTTCTCTTCTTTAAATAATTTTCTTTAAATATTTACATTATTAAAAATATAAATAAGAAATTTTGTAAGAAATAGTACAAGTTTGAATAAATGATACAATATGAGAATACAAATTAATAAAATTTGACAAATTTACAAAATCTCTCAACAAAAGATTTCCCCGTCAATGAATAAAAATACATAAATAGATTTATACATCTATTACATTAAATTTATTATATCTAAGCAGTTCTTATTCCTACAATTATTAACGAGTATAATCCTAGGACGGATCATCCATCTTTATTTCTTCTCTTTTATTACTTGAAATATATCAGTAAGGTGAGTATTTCTCGTCCCACTAAATCTCTTTTATTATGAATTATTATAAAAACAACTAAAGTTATTGTCTATTACTCTATTCTAATTCATTATCAATGTTGCACAATTCATATTGACACTCATCACATCTAAGTACATACAATAATACAACCATCAAACAGAGCATATGCAACATTCCATTCATTACACATATATTTCTATGTTGACCTGTTATTATACATGTATCATATCGTCTCAATTAATATGTCACAATACATATGTCCCAGTCACACCTGTCGATATACTACAACACACATATCGTAACAATATAAATTGATTTGTTAGACATATATTATAATCATATAAATTCTATACTATTTCACATTTATAAAGCTTTCATAATAATTGTCTCTGGGATCCCTTGAGGACTTCCTAAATAGTCGCTGGTTGGCCGCAACATCACGAATACACGTGTGCCGTCCTGACCCCTTTTAGCAAATGTATAATCAGGAAATGAGGGTATGGCCTGTGAATTTCTATTTTTCAATAAATTATTGTGCACCTTTTTTTCGTTAGCATTTACCATCCTCATTTCCTCAAGATTTTCTAAATCTTCTCCAGACTCTATACCCCTAGTATATCGTTGTACTATCTATACTTATTCTCTTTCTCTTTCTCTTTCTCATCATTTTTCATTTTCATATTCTTTTTATTGATCAGCGTGTCATAATACGTGAATTACAATTGATATAAATTTGTGGATCACAATATATATTATAATACACCCTTTAGTGTGCTATAATATATTGTAATCACCTTTTTTAAATTACTTGACCCACGCATCATAATCATGTATCTCTTTTCTTCTCTTTCATACATCATATATTTTCAAAACTAATCAGCACTTTAATTATTCATGTGAATTTACTCAATTGAATACCTTTCAGCTATCAAATCATATCTATACTTACTGTATCATGCCAGTCTGACATAGAAATTTATCATACAATATCACACTATGCAATAGGCCAATCTAACACAGAATCTACCATAAAATATCACACCATACAATCAATACAATATACTAATTTTAGCATAGAAATTATCACACAATACCACACCATACAATCAGTACAATATGTCGAAGGTCGGATACTTTCGAACTCAGTCCAACTCGTATAATTTCCATATAGTCTTCTATCCTAAAGTTCAATATTTTGTGTCTTTTATTACTTAACTCATATACATTTTAAGTAACTTAACCTTAAAATTTCTTAATGTTGTTCTAACCCATAGCTTTCTCTAAGAGTCCAATTTCATTAATTTTAAATAACTCAAAACCTTTCTTTTTACCAAAAATACATTTTCACCATACGATTTCATAAAAATCATAGATTATTACCAAAATAGGTTAGTCAGATTCTCCTAGGATCATTATATATGTATATAAAACTACAGCTCGAGAATACTCTCCTTACCTCGTAAGGGTTCCTCAAAAACTAGTTCTCTGAGAGATCTACGGAGAGATTCTACAATATCAACGAAGATATCGTCCAAAAGATGTAGTTTCTTAAGTATTTCGAGATAGATGTCTTAATATGAGAAGAAAACAGAAGAAAAGGAATAAAATAGAGATCTAAGTTATGAGAAACTTATTTAGATTTGAATGAAATTGATGTTTGAACTCTGCCTGAGTAAGATTGAGTCCAGAGAGCACCTATCTTTCTTGCGACTCCTTGCCTGAGCGAGCTCTATCTCGCTTGGACAAACTGCTCCCAACCTGAGCGAGATCCCTTTCTTGCTTGAGCGAGAGGACAGTTGGGACAATGTTATCTCATTCTCGCTTGAGCGAGGGGTTATAGAACGTTCTATTTTAGAAAATCTTACGTCACTTGAGCGAGATATCCTTTATCCAAATTCTTATTTTTCCTATCCAAAAGTAATAAAATTGAAGGTGTTACAAATCTCATATTATTAAACTTGGTGTGACATGTTAGTAAGGTTTTAAAAATGTGTCACAAAATAGGCTTAGTCACAGGAGTTTATACATAGCGTCTAGATAAATAATTTAATCAAATATTTACTTAATAATTGTTTCATATAAGATTGTATACCACAAGTTTAATTAAATTAATTAATTTAAATTTATAAAAAATCATAAATTATTTTGATAAACTTAAATAGGTTTTATATAACTTCTCAAGTTAAAGTAAGCATAAAAATAAAATCAAAGTTGAAGAAAATTAATACTCTTATAAAAGTAAAGTTAAAGACTAGTAGTTTTATTTTTTTTATATATTTTATCTATACTTGAATATGATGAACAAAATAAAACGGTTTTTATTGTTTATTTTAAGTGTAATATTTTTTTGTTTAATTACATTTTTAAGTTTCTATATTTTAATGTAGGTGTAATTTTAATTTGTTAATTTTAATTGTTCATATTTAATTTTTTAAATATTAAATTTAAGTCTTTTATCCTAAAATTTTAACTAATAATTAATAAAAATATGAAATTTTATTAATTTATACAAATAATAAAGATACATAAATTTTTTACATAAAAATATAAAATAAAATATATTAAAAATCTTAATTTTGGAATTGAAGACTTATATTTGAGTATGACCGACTTTACATTTGATAAATTTTTAAATAATAATATTTTAATCAATAGTTATAAGCAATATTTTAAAACTAAATCAATCATCAGTATTCAGATAAGACACTCGTTTTAAATTTATCAATTTAATTGCAATTAAACTATGATATAACTAAAAACAATTTAATAAATATTTAACATTATATAATATATTTAATAATATTCAATAAATTTTATTATTTATCTAGCAAAAAAAAATTATTTATAAATGTTTATTATATTAAAAATTACACACAATATCTGTAAATAAAATTAACTAAGCAACGTAGGATCAAATTCTAACACTAAAAAGATATAAAAACAATGAAAAATAAATTAAAAAAAAGGAGAAGTGAAAAACAACTTTTCACTTTTAAGCATGTTTGATTTCTGTTTTTAAAACAGTTTTATGTTTTTAAAAATTAATTCTAATACAAATTTATATTAAAAATTAATTTTTAAAATAAAAATTATTTTAAAAACAGAAATAAAACACACCTTTACACTGTAGTTTTTTATTCTTGTCTCGCTTTTTTTTTTTACTCTCCACTTCATCACTTTTTTTAGTTTTATAATAAAAATCATACTCATTAATATTTTATTATTCATATATCCGATACTTCTTTTTGTTTTTAATAATTTAGTTTATATACATAAAGTCATAAATAATATAAAAATATTTATATAGTCATTTAATCTTAAATTGTCATATCATTATGATATGTTTTTATTAGTTGATTGTGTACTAATAATATATTAAAAAAATTTCCTCCTTCACCATTGTGACTGTCCATAACTCTCTGCCACGACAT